TTCCAAACGACTGGCCGCTTCTCAGGGAAAAGGCGGGGCTTTCTAGTCCCATGAAGAGTGATCGCCTTGGACACTCAGAGGCAGTTCTGCTCTGTCCTGTAAGGTCACTAGGAGTCGGTGTTGACTCAATGGCAGTGACAAAGAGTAATGTAATCATTGGAACCCTGGTGGCACTGTGGGGTTAGCACTGGGCGGCTAACCACTAGGTCAGCAGTTCAAACCCACCAGCCACTCCGCAGGAGAAAGATGAGGCTGTTTGCTGCCAAAGAGATGTACAACACTGTGGAGCATCCTTAGGAATTGGCATCAACTCATGGCAGTGGGTTTGCTTGTTGGTCCATCATCCTCACCAGAGAGAGACTTCTCCTCGGCCCTGTGCCATATTCTATTGGTTGGAAACAAGTCGCCGGCCAACCCGAGGGTCCATCCACCTCTAGACTCCATATAGAATCACAGCCCCTCCTCCCACCTTGGATTCATGAAGGTCATGATCACAGGCTGCCAGCCCCAGTCCTCTCTCCTTGGAGTGGATGGTTCCTGGGCCTTCCAAGGATTTCCTTGGTGACCCTTACCTTCATCTAAAGAGCCTGGTGGTGCAGTCGTGAAAGCACTCAACTGCTAACTGAAAGACAGGCAGTTCAAACCCTCCAGTCACTCCAGCAAGAAAACTAGCAGTTTGTTTCCATGTAGATGACAGACTTGGCAACCCACGGGGACAGCCCTGCTCTGTCCTACGGGGCCCCTGTGCACTGGCATTGGCTCGATGGCACACAGCAATTTCCACAAACCCTGCCAAGTGAGTCACAGACTGAGCGTCGGATGTGCCCGGGCTCCCCTGGTTACAGCATTCATGCCATGGTGTTTTATGCCCACAGGGAGAGAAAGGAGTGCCCGGGGAGAAGGGTGACCCAGGTGTGGAGGTAGGTGGTGTCTCCTCTTCCTTTTATGCCGCTGGGGCCCCGCCAACCAGCAGTCTGCCCAGCAGGCCCAACATTTCCATGTTCTAGAATGAAACCACGCACACCTAATGCAGGTGGGATGTAGAAGTGAATGCCCACTGAGCACCACCAAGGCCAGAAGCAAGGGCAGTCACTGTTGTTCCACCCAGGGATTCCTAGGGTAGCAGCCCCCGGGAGCCAGCCCTCTCAGTGACATCAGTCCAGAGAGAGGAAGTCAAGTAGGACCATCCCTCGATGGGGCTGGGGGTCATAGACCTCCAAATGTACATTGACACACAGACTATGCTATGCGATGGGCACCAGAGCAGGGGGTGGGGGTAGGGGGGACTTCACAGAGACAGGCCTCGTGAGCAGAGTTGTGAGGACGTTGTCAGAGTTTACCTAGAAGCTTCAGAAGTAGGCTTTCCTTGGCATGCAGGATCGCGCTGACAAAACACAATATTCCTCTAGTTCTTTCATCCTGCCTCCCCGCACCCCCACTCTCATGACCCCCGTTCTACCTTACAAATCTGGCTAGACCAGAGCATGTACACTGGTACAGA